GATATAAACAAATGACTCTTTCCTCCAGGGGTTTTAACTTCTCAAGTCCCCAGTCAAGCAGCAGGCTGCTATTCTGCTGGAAGTTAAGAATAAGAGTGAACCCAGTGGTCCCAACTGTGCCAAGAGTCTGAGATGCAAGCTCCTGTTAGGCACCTGAAGAGACTCTAGTCAATCCAAGCTTTCATTCTGTGTCTGTAGCCACATAAATACATTTTTTTATGTCCATAAACAGAAGAAAAAGTTCAGCAGTGCCACTACACCCTGTAAACAGGGATGCAAAGCTTCCAAATCAACACATTCACTGAAATGGAAAATACCAAGTGACGTCTTTGCAAGTTGGTTCAGCTATAGTGTTTTAAAGTATTGAGATAATTTGTCAGCTGTTTATAGTGTGAAAAGACCTACCTTGGGATAATATTAGTAATGGCTCTTTCTTCTGTGTTCACCCATGGCTTCCAAAATGTTTTTTGTTTTGTTTTGTTTGTATGTTTTTTTATAAAAGAAGTTTCATTAAATTCATTCTTTATATTGAGGACATTAAATCAAAGAGGTGAAGTGATGTGCTTAGAAAAGCCATACAAAGGAGAACTGTTCCACCAGACCAGGGTTCCACTCAGAAGTGATTTCAATGAGTGAAGCCATACACAGATGACTAAAGGCCCATCTTTGGATGAGAGCCTTCCCCACGTGGAGGAAACCTAGAATTAAGATTAAAATACACAAAAAAGCCATGGACACACTGACAATTGTGGCGGCCACCCATCTTGATGACTATTCTCCCCTACAGCTACCAGGCTACAATCATACCAGCTCTTGCCTAGTCTCCATCATTTCTATCTTCTTACCTCATGGCTAGTCTTTGGAAGAGTAAAACCTTTTATGGTCTCTTATGGGCTGCCTGCTGTGCAGCAGAGATCCAGGTTCAAACACTCTAAAAAATGAATCCAGTAGATTTTAAAACTGTTGATGTGAGACTCCTTTACTGGCCACTCTCTGGTCAGGCTGTGACGGCTTCTGATCAGCAGCTGTAGTGGAAAGCAATTCTGGGTGTGCTATCAGAGCAGCACTCAGAGTCCTACAGCTGGGGATTTATCCTTCCTCCCCCTCTTTTATCCTTTGTTTCCTGCCCAGCTATGAGGCTGGTGTGTATCTAGACAGCTCAGCACTTGAGCTGCTGGTGGTGAATGTTACAGAGCAGTTTACATGCCTTGTGTCATAAGCCCTGTAAATGCCTAGTAAAACATGGTATTTAACGGAAGCATATCAGCTCATTTTAAAGCTGCTTTACCTGGTGCCGAGCAAACTGTTGCTGCGCTGTCTTTTTAATCAGTTACCACCAAATGTGTGTGCGTGTGAGAAGGGTTTTAAACATTTCTCTGTCCACTTCCAGGCAACTAACCGACAAGCCTACAATCCTCTTATTATGCCTTCGAAACAGGGTCCATTCACTGTTATCTACAGCGCACGTTATCATAGGGTATTCTGCAGAGCCGGGCTTATAGAACTTATCCCTAATGTTTCTTGTACACCAGGTACATATCAGTTAGACACAGACCTACCAGGCACACGCCTCTGAAGAAATGTATAACAGGACATTCAGAAGTTACACCTGATGCAGTGCTTTGTCTGCAGGATGAAAATACAAGAGACACTCCAGCAGTAACCATTACTGATATAATGCTAATTGAGGCCTGAGACATTCATGCAACCATGTTAACTCTTTATGTTAGAAGAGGCCAGAAATTCAACATTCCACAGGATGCAGTTATCCCACCATATATGCCCCAAACATATACCCCCTGCACAGACTGATGGAAGATCCTTCACTCCTGGATTTCATTTAAATAGTGCAGCCTCAGGGGCAAATTTGTTTTTATAGAACATACCAGGTATAATGCTCTAAATTCTGACTCTTTGAGGTATTTCATTTAGAATACATTCAGTCATACTAACTGGAGTAATTTAGAACAGATTTCCACTTTTAATGATACCTTCCCTTCCTTTTTTTTAAATTTTGTTATTTTTGTTGTTGAAAAAAGTTACTGTCCACACTGTCAGAATTCAAATAACACTTATCAGACTGAAGGTCTGTCTCCCATTTTCATGCATGTAAAGTATCCATTTATCTCAATAATTACAAAGTATGTTTCAGTCACACAGGTCTGAACAAAATGCATAATCTTACCCAATGCAGAAATGTATCTATTACAGGCTCACACAGAGGTTTGTATAGATCATAAAGTTAGCATGTAAACCCTGGGGAACATGGAGAGATTTAAAAAAAAAAAAAACCAACAAACCTAATCCACTTATATAATGGCATGAAAAGGGGTAGTACTATGATCTTTGCCACGAATGCTGTAAAGAAAGGAAGCTGACAGGTAGAATTACATGCCACCAGTGCAAACTATTCAGAGTTTGTTCAGTTTTCTCATCTGTCAACAGGAACAACATTAAGCTAAATTACTATTTTTGTAGAACCTGGAGATCCTCATTTGGTTTTGTCTCCACACGGAGCCAGTATGGCTAGTTTATGAATGTGGGATGTGATCTGCTTTTTATTCTCTGTTCAAGGCCATGGATTCCCTGAATTTGAAGTTGAGTCTCAGTCTGCACGTGTTAATCCAACACTAGAAGCTTTGAAGAATTCTAGCTTCCCTGATCCTGTTTCTGTTAAAAACAAAACAAAACACAAAACCCCACAATGCAGTAACATTACAGTGGGATGAACAATGTCCTCAGAAATACGTCTTTGAAGACAGATTTCCTGAATACTTGCCCTATCAGTTCACAGTTTTTGGGCTCCCTGTATTTTCTTCATTTATTTGCTTGACTTGCTGCCTGCATGTAGCTGGATAGTTAATAGAAGCACACCTGTCCTTGGAGGCCAATATGAACTGACTGGCTGTGTCTTTGGTTCAGGTCCATTAAAAAAATCTGAGCATTAATTAATCACTGACTTGCAAATAGCTTGGAAGAGCTGTTCAGGCTAAATTGGAATGTTCTGCAATTGTTTTACTTTTGGTCACAGGCACTTTGGTGATATGAAACTTCTCCCCTGTCAGGATAAGATGTGCATAAATCCAGCCACTCCTGCATTAGAGCAGACCAGCCTAGAGACAGGTCCATTTCTTTCTCTAACTAGGAGACTGCACACATGAGGAAGAGCTGTCATAAGCAGCACTCTTGATAGAATCCCTCCATTGAAAAGGAAATAGTAAAACCTACCAAGGCAAAATGCCCATGGCCCGTACATGGGCAAAAAGCCTTCCCTTCTTGCTGTGTGCCAGGCCAGTCAAAACCAGCTTCTCCTTTTTCACTCAGCTAGGTGAAACTGTAACTGTAGAAATCAAGCTGCTGCTTAAACTTTCCATACATCACCACCAAGAAGGACGTCTGTGATCTGGGGCCTGTTTTCTGTGCTCTAGCTGCTGATAGTCACAAAGAATGAATTGAGAATGGTGCAGATCTGTCTGCAAAAGGCAAGCCAAGCAAATAGATGGAGATGTTAGGCCCAACACCTGAAACCTCTGTAATGTGAAGCACAAAACAAAAAAACTTCATGGAAAAGGAACCTAAGCCAGCATGACCTATAAGTCATGAAGAAAAACATATTCAAGGGAATCATGATTTCATTTGTATCAGGACTCTTCCCACTCCTCACTGCAAAAACTGTTCTTGATAAATAAGGAAGATAAATAAGCAGTTGTCAGTACAATGAGTACTAAGTGAGGAAGAAATTTAAAGCTGAAATGAAGGCACATGTTCTTAAAATGCCAAAATACCAACATAATAAAATAAATACCTAAGCCTAATAGTAATGACAATTTTTCCTCAGTGGCAAGATATACTACATATGTGTATGTTGCAAGAAGGTATTCCTTGGAAAGAGTTAACCTTACTGGGCAAAAAAGGGCTTGTATTCCAAATTCTCAAGTCTGATAAGTCACCTTAACATACTTATTTCCCTTCTTCCCCCAGATTTCACTTTCAGTGGAGAAGCCAACCAGAAAATGCCAAATGATTAAGAATTACTTTTCCTGCTCCCCATTTATGCTCTTATTCCCACACAGTGTACACGTATGCACGGATGGTGAAGAATTATGTCCCATGAAAATTTCCCCCTCGATACCCTAAAACTGTAAACCTTCCCCAACTTCTGAAATGCAGTGGAGAGGTAAATAGGCAATCACAGCTAATCTTTCACCCTCTGCAGTATTTCTAAACCTGTGGAAATTTCAAAAGCTACCAAGATAGAATGACGAAATGAAACAACACACCCAAGCTTGAAGTATGGGCACTGGTTATTTGATTGAGGATGGTGACAAAAAGAAAAAGAAAAACATAAAAACAGATCATGAGACCAGTCAGAATAATTCTACAAATTGTTGATATATTGAGACACCCAGATGCATATGTGTTTTTTGAGGAGTGAGACACTGCTTCTATTTGAGCACTCAAAAATGCAAACAACCTTGTCAGTTTTGTTTGCAGAGCTCGCTGTCCATTTCTTTATCAACTGGTATTAAAGACCTGGCCCTGAAGCAGCTGCAGAACCTAATGGATCCTTTAGAGCCTTTTGGCTGCTGTTCAGAGGCGGAGAAGGTATTTTAACTCAGTACCAAAGATGCACTTTCAACTTGCTATTAAAACAATAATACAAACACAGGGATAATGAGAGAATAAGGAGAGAAATGAAGAAAGAAATGTAAGACTATGGAAGGGAATGGATCACAGGCTCTCTAGGACTAGTTTCTATAATAAGTGTGTGAGACAATCTCCTACAAGAGGGAAATGGCCTATTTGATCTAATATGCCTTTCTCTTCTTGAATTTCCACAATGTGGAGAATCAATATGAAGGAAATTAAAGCATCAGGAACAGACTCACATTTCCACTTGTGTGTTCCTATCTCAGCAAACTCTTATTGAGGTAGAAGTATTTACCTTAAGTGCCCAGTTCACGTGTGCTGCAAGAGAAGGAAGGATTTCAAAAGGATACATGCTTCTTCTGTGTAGGGGACAGCAGAATTAGGTCCACCCAATATGTAGCTGTAGAATGAGACTTCTAGAGTGTAGCAGTAGGACGTATCATTTAACAGCCCACCAAGAAAACGCCGGCCTGTCCCTGCTTTCACAGCATCTCTGTTGAATGATGTACTGGACTGCAGGAGGAAGAACACAAAGACATGAGGAGAGTTCATGAGTGGAACAAGGAAAGGATTGGGAAGGAGTCTGTTAAAATAGAAAACAGTTAAATTCACATCAGCAAATCTCATTTACACTATATGAGACTGCACTATTTTTTGAGCATGGCCTGGAGAGACCATTAACGGAAACAGAGTTCTGGCACATAGACTATAAATAATGCCTTGCAGACTTTCACAAAATTAATCTCAGTTCACTAGTAACATCAGCTTTTCTCCTCCCCTTTTGGATAACACAAAGAAAGTCTGTCATACGCATGAGTTGAAAGTGAACCTTCCAGACCCTCCACTCTCAAAAGTTAAGCTGGGCTATTATTTGGATACTGGGTTCCTTCTCTCTACTGCATTCCCCTGTATCATAACCATTCTCCCCCACCCCTTACTCTGGACTCTTTTAAGCCAAGTAGAAATACAGTGGCATTTACATTTTAGTGAAACTTCCTCACCTAAGACATTTGACTGGTTCTTAAATTAGGTCACACAAATTTCCACTTCACTAACTTAAATGTTAACTGGGTGTTGCTCTCTGGGTGGAAAAATATACTGCACTATTTTACTGCATTAGCAGCACAGTATAAAAGGCAGTATTTTGTGCTGTTACTAAAGATCTGGCTTTAAGAACCCTACAGCTTTATGACTATTCATTTGAGGGGTGGAGAGGAGGACTCCAGGTATTTCCGGAAATGAGTTTTAGCTCTCCTTTGAAGGCATGACATCTGGAGACTAAAGAGGAGCTCATCTTCAGTTTGACTGGAGTCTCAGAGCTTGTTCCTACCACTGGAGAGAAAACTGGATTCTAATTTCATTTTGGTTATCAGACTCTATTCACAAACCTCATAACCATTAGACTGAGGTAATCTGGGTTCAGCACAAGCTAGTGACGACCACAAAAAAAAAAAAAAAGAAAAAAAAGCACTTAGTAGATCCAGCTTGGATCTGTTGCATAAAAGGCCTTAATGTCTCCTGCTTTAAGACTTTTATGTTGTCAATGAAACATAAAGGAGCCTTAACATAGCTTACTGTTCAGTCATTGTGCCCATGGTGAATTCTTTGAGCTATCCAGTGTCCTCCTACTGAACCTTAAGGCTAGTAGTATCTTTTCTTGCTAACAAAATGTTAGTATTTATCAACTCCATCTCTTATCAAAACCAGGGAAAATAAAATTTCTTTCTTATTTAAAAAATTAGATGCAATGGTTCAAAATGTTAAACTTCTTTAGACTGAGAAAATCAGACAATTACTGAAATGAGCAACAATTATTGATGAATAGTGTATACCAGAAGATATAAAGAATGGAAGTACCTGTGGGTTTATTAACACTCTGAATGTTTTGAAGTCTCTCTCATGTTATAAAAAGGAAGGCTTTCCAGGTTAATTAGAATAAGATGGAAATGGGTTTCTTATTAGCATTATATATAGGAGTTTCCAAATGCAACTTGTTGTCTTTGTGGTAACATAATATTTAGCTTTGTGGTAAATTGTACACGGAATGTATTCTGCTATATACGTATCATATAATTTCCTCCAAATTATATGGCAGAAACCTTGAGGATATCCTGAATACCCATGTGCCAGGGAAGTAAAGTGTTCCTAAGGACTGATGGGGAAATTAATTGTTAATTTGATACATGGAATAAAATATTAAGGAGGTTTACAAGAAGGAATGTTCTCTGACTTCCTGCAAAAGAAGCCTTCAAAAGACTACTGAGACCCTAAAAGTGAGGGAAGCTTTGTCTTCAGTTAAAATTCATATACGTAAAGGAAGATGATCATGCTCTGGGGTTTGCTTCATAAGTCAAGTAAACATTGATTTCAGTGGATAGTGCTTCATGTTCAAATGAATGCCTGTGGTGGAACTTTTAATGCATAAAAGCAACAGCTGATGAATATGGGTGTATGAAGCCAGCTCAAAGGAAGATGACAACAAACGTGTCAGAACATGGTATGTGGTTTGTGAGCAGAAGCATCACTCACAAGGGGAATGAGCTAATTCTGTGGCTGTGTTTGGTACAGTGGAAACAAGGAAAATGTCAGAGAAGTGATTCAGGGCAGACATTAGGGACAGAAGTACTCCAGTGATTAGGAGACTCAGTTACTGATACGGAGTATCTATGAAGATTATAGAATCTCATCAACTATGTTTAAGAATAAATTGGACAAGTATCTGCTGAGTTCATGTATTTGGGATACAGTTGGGACTTGAGGTCCTTTTCAGCTCTATTTCCCATGATTTCAGTCAGTCTAGAGGAAGGTTATGAGTTGAATTCCTCATAGATGATTTTTGAGATAAATCTTACATAATATTTTCAACACAGTCCTTGGCACAGTAAAGGAGGACCATGCCAACAAAATTTGCTGATGACACACTGTGGAATGAATCATCATTATGGAGGAGGCTCTGAATATCATACAAAAAAAAAGCAGTGGGGTGACTTCGAGGACCGGAGTGATAGTAGTCAGATGAAACTCAGCTGCACAAGTGCCAGGTCATGTACTCAGGGCCTAATAAAAAACAATCTCTGCTATAAGCTGAAACCTCATCAGCTGGAAATAGATGAAGAGAGTCTGATGTATTACTTCACTGAAGTGATATTTGCTTTCTGGCAGAAAATAGCTCAGAAGTTGGATCTAGTTGTTGGCAAAATTAGACTTGCCATATTTCAGAAGTTAAGCATAAGTAGTTTAAATAATTTGAAGAAGGTTTTGTAAATGGCCAAAAAAAGAAAACAAAATTTGGATCTTTCCAGAGTTTGAATTTTTATAATGCTGTTTTGTGGGGTTTAGGGGTTTTTTTCCTTTTTTTTTTTTTAAATAAAAAAGTTCCAGTTTCAGCTGTGCAAAACTACTTGAAATGGCAATGCCATTAATAAAATCACCCATTCATTTCTTTGCCAGTTAGTGCTGCACTTCCAGGAATAAAAAAAAGCTGAGCCCTCTTTTAGGTGCATAAATGCAGATTTTGGAGGTTAACTTTGTCCTCATTTTGAAAAAATCTGATGGCATAGACCAACTTGATGTCTTGAGTAAAAAGTAAAATCTGTGATTTGACTCAAGAAGGTTGAAGTAGAGAAAACAACATAAACTCTTCAGATATGAGCACATGCAGGTTTTGAAACAGCGGCTTGGGTTTGGCTCTAGAGCAAATCTTATAAGCCAGAATGTGATCTGATGTTTTAGACGAAAAGAAGAAAATTACAGATTCATGAAAATTCAACTAATGACAAGGAAGGGCAGCAGGTAATTGCTTGAGTCTAACCTTCTACTTACTGTTTCAAGATAAATGGAGTGGAGAAATAAACAGGCAAAACTTTGACTCCTCACCAGAACTGATCTTGGCAACTGATAATGCTGAAACAAAGGCTATGAAAAGCCATGCATTATCATGGCAAAGAAAGAGCCTTTTGCGTGCACATTTATTTAATCCAAATCTGATCTGGGGAAAAGGGGCAGGGGGGTGGGGCAAAAGGCAGGAAAGAACACAGGTAATGTTGTCTGCAAATGAGCCTTTCCTTTTTTTGGGAGAATCTATTGCCCTAAAAGCCTTGCAAAACTGAACTAAAGTCATCATTAAGCAAATGCACTGAGCAGGCACAGCAGGAGAACAGCTAAACAAATATTTATTTCTCCAAGGCTGAATCGCATGGGAGTGTCAACAACAGCAACAGCAAAAAGTACGAAGTCTGGAGGGCGGGGGGAAACACCAAAGACTTTGAAGTTCTTAGATATTTGTATTGATATTTTATTTGTATAAAATCAACAGTAATTTGTTATTAAAACACAGGGATACATTAACGCTCGCAGAAGGACTCTGCTTCCCAGCTTGTAAGTAAGGGCTTCCCAGCTTGTCTCTACAAGCCTGTATCAATCTACCACAAGAGGGGCTTTGAAAGACAAAGAAGGAGAACAGCATGCTTCTCACACATCTAAGACTGAATTTGCCCAAGTCCAGCCTTTGGCATCCTGATGGACTTGGAATCTGAGTGGTTCTGCTTGGTGGGAACTTCCACTGGTGGTATCTCCTCCTTAGTGAATGTGTGGCTTCACAGGTGACTTGTCTTGCTACAGCTTCAGAAAACCTCAGGTTGCACAAAAGGAAACATTGGAGGCAAAACCCAGTAAATCTGGGTCCACTGTGCAGTGGAAGAAGAGATGCCAAAAAGGGCTGAAAAGTCAGGCAGGCTCAGTGTCCAGCCAGTAATGGATGGGAGCTTCATTTCTACCTTTCACTGATGGCAGGGCAAAGGGACAGGGTACAAAAGGGTACTTTCTCATACAGGAGTTGTTGGGGAATGAATCTTTATCGTCTTCTGAAATTGCTCAACACATTAGGGAGAAAAAGTATCAAGGTATGACAACAGTACAAGTCAGAGCTTGCCAGGCTCCTAGCATGGGAACCAGGGTATAGACTGCACATCACTTATGATCAGTCCTAAGGTGTTTCTCCAACCCAGCGAGAATGGAAACTATAAGGTACAAATGACTCCAAAAGTAATTAGGAGAGAAATAATCAACCAGCCAGAATCTGGTCACAGGCTTTGACAGATTAAGAAAGATGAGCTTCTGATGTAGTGAGGTCTAGAGGGTTCCTGAAATCCAACAGACAGATTTTACCAGCTGTTCACATCTACTGCAACACAACTGATTTTTTATGTGCCCATGGAAGGAAGTAGCAAACTGCATATATCTTCAAAAACTTGAGCTCTAGTGAGCACATGAATGTTTCCCAGAAGATCATTTGTCCTCACAGTGTATCCGCATGAAATTCAGAATAAGAAGATCTTCCATTTGCCAATATAGATAGGTGATGTTAAGTCCAGAAAGTGTTTTACAAAAGGATGTAGTATGTTCAACTGTGTGCTCACAAGAATCAGAGAATCATGTTAGAAATCCTCCCTGGAGAAGAGCGGAGACATAAACACTAAGAGGATTCATAATTAGAGAATGGTTTTATATTACAA